ATAATCTATGTCTGTCTGTCTGTGTGTTTGTCTGTCCGTGCGTCCGTCAGTCCTCGTTTGTGTGTGTTGAAGTAGAAATAAATAAATAAATATATATGATTATAATGCGAGACCCATACTTGTGAGCAACATAACAGCAGCAAACATTGACAAATTTATATTAAAAGTTGTACCTGTGATTACCATTGATTATGCCATACCCCCTACAATTATGGCAGACTATATGTATTATAACAAACACACACACACACACACACACACACACACACACACACACACACACACACACACACACACACACACACACACACACACACACACACACATTAGGTAAAAATCATTAGAAAGGTCAATAAACCTTAAATATGTTATATGGAACATAAGTATAACTTCCAAAATCACTCTCATATACTTACAGCGGCCTGACGAATAGTGCAACTATAATGTTCTGTCAGGGCTCAGGTCGAGTCTCATCCGTACTGATCATCTACAGTATATGTGTGTGTGTGTGTGTGTGGTGTGTGGTGCGGTGTGTGGTTAAAATGGCGGGGATCCGCTTTTGAATTTTGCCACATACAGCAGCTAGTTTAATGTGCACCCCATACTCATACTGTGACCGACAGCGCTAAAGGATGAAAGTTAAACACTAGAGGTCACAAAGGATGTGTCTGACAGACGCTAGGGGTCAGGATATTATGATATTGAAAGTAAAAACAAAGAATTTCCAATACATAATTTGTTTAGTTCTGTACAATTGTATGTGTATGTATATCTGGTTGTCTGTCTGTCTGTGTAATGTTATGTAATAGTAATAGTAATGTATGTTCTGGATGACTTATTCAAACCTGCGTGAGTACACCTGTAAGAGACAATACACCTGGCCGCACACTTTGTTATTAACACCTACGTGAGTACAGCAGTGTGAGGTAATACACCTGGCCGCACACTTTGTTATTAACACCTACGTGAGTACAGCAGTGTGAGGTAATACACCTGGCCACACACTTTGTTATTAACACCTACGTGAGTACAGCAGTGTGAGGTAATACACCTGGCCACACACTTTGTTATTAACACCTACGTGAGTACAGCAGTGTGAGGTAATACACCTGGCCACACACTTTGTTATTAACACCTACGAGAGTACAGCAGTGTGAGGCATACACCTGGCCGCACACTTTGTTATTCATCTGCGTGAGTACAGCAGTGTGAGGCATACACCTGGCCGCACACTTTGTTATTAACACCTACGTGAGCACAGCAGTGTAAGGTAATACACCTGGCCGCACACTTTGTTATTAACATCTGCGTGAGTACAGCAGTGTGAGGTAATACACCTGGCCACACACTTTGTTATTAACACCTACGTGAGTACAGCAGTGTAAGGTAATACACCTGGCCACACACTTTGTTATTAACACCTACGCGAGTACAGCAGTGTAAGGTAATACACCTGGCCACACACTTTGTTATTAACATCTGCGTGAGTACAGCAGTGTGAGGCAATACACCTGGCCGCACACTTTGTTATTAACACCTACGTGAGTACAGCAGTGTAAGGTAATACACCTGGCCGCACACTTCGTTATTAACACCTACGTGAGTACAGCAGTGTAAGGTAATACACCTGGCCACACACTTTGTTATTAACATCTGCGTGAGTACAGCAGTGTAAGGTAATACACCTGGCCACACACTTTGTTATTAACATCTACGTGAGTACACCAGTAAGAGACTATACACCTGGCCGCACACTTTGTTATTAACACCTACGTGAGTACAGCAGTGTAAGGTTATACACCTGGCCACACACTTTGTTATTAACACCTACGTGAGTACAGCAGTGTGAGGCAATACACCTGGCCGCACACTTTGTTATTAACACCTACGTGAGTACAGCAG